AGAGAGAGAGAGAGAGAGAGAGAGAGAGAGAGAGAGAGAGGAAGCAGTCATTTCCGGTTTGACTGTTGATAAAGAGGTACTACTGTGCTGTATTGTATTGTTGTTTGTATAACAAACAAAAATAGAGCGAGAAATTACGCAGGAAAAGCTGCTGCTGCTGCTGCAGTGGAATTTTTTGTGTTTTTAGCATGAGATAAAAAATGTCACATCATCTCAAACAAAAAAATTTTCCCTTACCTTGATGAGGTGCTTCACCACCTTCTCGGCGTCTTTTGAGGTGGGCACGCCCTTCGACTTTGCCTCGGCGATGTACACCTTCAGCAGGCGGTGGACGTTGTCCAGCAGCTTACCGGAGGTGTCGTCAATGAGGTGCTTTACCACGGTTCGACTGGAGCCGATGCGCCCGAAGACTTTCTTCTGAATTGAGAGGCCTAGTTCAGCGGACTTGAAGGTGGCAGGCTCGGAGGTGGTCATGTTGTGCGAAGATTGGAAAATTTAGTTTTATTTGGTTTAGTTGGTCAGAAGCTGTGGAAAGCAAAATGTTGGTTTCTGTGGTGGTGGTGATAACTGGTCGACAAATCTGGCTGGCAACTGGTGGTTTTATTTTGTCTGTTTATGACTGCCCTGTCTGTCGCCACTGTTTTCTGTTTTCTCTTTCTGGTGAATGTTGCTGGTTTGCTGGTGGTGGTGGTGGTGGTGATGACGTTGTTGATGACAGTGACGGTGCACACCAGCCAAACGGCAATGAGAGGATACAGAGAGAGTTAATTGAATTAATGACTGCTGCTGCTGGGGATGTTTCCAGAGTGACTGACTGACTAAGAAAGAGTGTGTACTTTGGACACTGTGTTTGTGCCTCTGTGCAACAGATGTCTTTTGTCTGTCTGTCTGTCCACCAGTGACCTTTACTCTCTTTCTTTGGTAGTAGGACAGGGAAAACATCTGTCGCTCTTGTTTCTTCTTTTTCTTCTTCTGTGGGCCGTTTTTGCTGCGGTTGTTGTTGCTGTGGGGTCTCTGTGCTCAACTGTGGACAGCAGTGGCAGCAGCAACTGCAGCAGGTGGTTCTGTTGCTGACCATTGAGAAAAATCAAAGTAAACAGGCCCTCATTTTGCTTGTGTGTATTTGTGTGTGTTTTGGTGCGGGATTTGTGCGCGTTGTCCCCCCTTAACTTAAATAGCCCTTTTGCTATATTTCAGTTTAAATTTTGTTTTATTTAAAAAATAAAAGAGTATGGCAAAATGAGAAAAAAAGTTCAAACATCTCCAGAGATCTCTATCCAGAGTTCAGAGTCTTTATCGTCAGGGGCAGCTACGTTATTTGTGGGATTAACCTTTCGGAGGTCGGATGGTTAATTTTCTTGCCTTAATTCCTGAATTTGAAGCCAAAATTGCCACAACGCCGGAAATATCTTTGTTCCGTAGATCAAATTCTGAATTATCTGGACGATGTAAAGATATGACGTTAGTTTTTTCATTGATACCTGAATGAGTATCAATAGGCGGCTCTTCACGCAGTTTAGTTTTAGTTTTGTCATTTATCATATTATTTTCTGTTGAACAATTGTCGCAATTTTCTGGATTTCTAGCATTATCATTTTTTAACAGATTTGAAAGTTCAACTTGGTTTGAATTATTAGGCGTTTTTAAATGCCCTTTAAAATTTAATTTATTAATTTTTTTCCAGAAATATTCAATGCAAATTATCCAAACTAGAACAATACTAACAACAGCAACGGCAATCATTGTTACTCCGATAGTTATTTTTGACAAGGTAGCTAAATAAAATATAAAAAATATATATAATTTAAAAAATGAAAAAATTGCACATATACTTACAAAAAACAACAAGTTTAAACAATAAATTAATTATTTTTTCAAAAATAAACTCATTAATTTTTGATTGGAAACCAGTTGTATTTTGAGAAATTTCAATATTAACCGTAGCATTCATGTGACCAATTACGTCTTGACACTTTATCACTTTTTCAGTTCTATTAAGGTAAATAAGATTAACGTTGTCATTTCTTTCTACCAAACAGCCTTCTTCGGCATCATAAATGCTAAATGCAGAAATCATTTTTGTGTTGTTGCTCATGTTCTAAAATAAAAAAAAATATGTACAAACTAATTAGGTTAAATAAAAAATTTCAGCATATACCATATTAGTTGAATTGATTTGCTTCATGACATCATTATCTTCATCTTTGCTGTGAGGAACTCCTAAACTGTGAGAAAATTCTTCTTTTGTTGTTCTTAAAGCCCGATCATAAGCTGTACTGTCATTTTTATTTTGACATCCGTAAAAACTAACTGCAACTGCGTTTTTAGGAGGTTGACAAACGGCACCCACTTTGAAACCATTATGATTGTCAGAAAGTTGTTTCTCGGTAAATAAGACAACCAGTCCGTAATTGAATAATTTTTTTAAAAGTGCATTTGATTTGAGTGTAATTTTAAGCTTTTTAACATCTATCACTTGTTCTTCCTCAAACTGACTGAACACCTCATGACCAAGGTCAATTGCCCATAAATCAAAACCAAAGTTTTTGAAATGAAACTCTTCCCCGGTTTCATCATCAATATGCACAAGGTTCTCTTTACGAAAATCTTGATTAATTGTTTCAAAGTGCATGATGGTGAAATTGATAGCCGCTTCTTGATCTCCATCAAAACACTGGTTAACGTAGGCGACATCAGTGAGGCAATAGACGCCTAGTAAATCATTAGCAGTGATTAGTAGTGCATTTAGATTAAAAAATGGCGTTAGAAAACTTACTGACTCGTTCTTTAGACGAAAACACGTTTGTCGTGTGGACAACTAAGATTACCACCAGTTGATATAACGCCATCAGCCTTACTGGCGAACATTTCCCAATGTAGTTCGACATTTTTTCATAGATGTTTTCCAAGTCTCAACATTGCTGATTGGCAAAGAAACAACTGACAATTTTTTGGAAGTCTTTTGCGGTTTTGTGTTTATTTTGGTGGGGTCTTTTGTTAAAAGTGATGCGCAAAAACAAAAAAAGTATCAATGTAAATTGGTCACAATTTGTATCACAAAACACAAGCTGTTGCCTCGCAACTACCCTGATAATGTGAGATGTCTTAAATTTTTTTGACAAAACTGTGTAAATAATAGTCGATGAGGAATTGACAATGTTGATAAAAACTACTTTAATACATTAAAAATATAACACAATATTTATTTAGTTTCTGGTTATTTTATTTGTTCTGATTTTTAAACAGTTGTTTTAGTAATAAATTAAAAATTTATACAAAATTGAGTACAACAAAAAAGAGGTCTAAACCGGCACCGCCTTTACCCAAACGCCATTCTTCGGCGTCTCAGTGATAAACTTGTAGTCAATCGTCAGCTCCTTCTCAGTGCTCGGCCCGGGAACCAGTCTAAACTTGGACAGCAACCTCGCCAGCGTCAGGCGAATCTCCATCTGCGCAAATCTCATGCCGATGCCTGCAAAGAAAGATGAAGCAGCAGATTAGTTTATCTCACGTTTATCAGAAGAAATCTCAATAAAAAGGGCAACCAGTCCGTAGTTAGAATGTTCTTTAAAAAATGCATTTGATTTGAATGTAGCTTTAAGTTGTTTAACGTTAATCACCTGTTGTTTCTCAAACTGACTGAACGCTTCATGACCAAGGTCAATGGCCCAAAAATCAAAACCAAAGTTGTTAAAGTGTGTAGTTTCATTTGTTTCCTCATCAATATGCACAAGGTTTTCTTTGCAAAAATCCTAATTAATTCTTTCAAAGTGCATGATGGTTAAATTGTGCTTATAGTTGTCAAAAAATTTACAAAATAATTAAAAAACTTTTTTATAATTACATCAAATTAAAAATAAAAAAATCTAGTTAAAACAATTTTTAGTTAGTTGCTAATTACTTTATTTACTTCGATTTTTAAACAGTCATTTATGATAACGTTTAATGCAATAAATTAAAAATTAACAAAGTTGTCTGAAACAATAAAAAAATGTAAACAAGCATTTACCAAAACGCCATTTTTTGTTGTCTCAGTATTATGCAAAAAAATATCATATGTTTGTATGCTTGAGTGGTGTTTAATAATTATGCCTGTGCAACTTACCGTTTAGAATACTGCACTAATAGTATTGGTTGAACACAAAAGTTAAAACTAGAAGTAGTTGAAATAT